CTGCTTTCGAGTGGTTCATGCAGGGGCAGGATATACCGAAAGATGAGTGGGCGAGGACGCTACCGCTCTGGACCAGGAAGGCGGAAAGGCCGCTGGCTAGCCAAATCAGAGACATGGCCCGGGATTGGGAGAGCTGCAGGGCACAATTGAGAGAGGCCTTTCGACGGCCAGAGTCCCCCCACCCCAGAGTCGAGAGACGTCAGAGGAGTCAGAGGTCGAGAGACCCTGAGCCCAGGGAGGTGAGACCGTCTCGGGGAGGACGGAAGGCCCTAGCCAGGAGAGAGGAGGAGCCGGAGCGGGAGCCAGAGGTTGAAGAGCGAGGAGCATACCCTGAATGTGGGTTGGGACCAGTGGAGTTCCATCGTTTTACTGAGGGTGAATTGAGGAGGTCGCCAACACACGCACGGGAGGAGCCGCCAGTGTCTGAAGGGCCGTTGAGAGAATTAGAAACGCATCTGGATATCTCTCAATGGAAAGCGTCGCCTCAGGATGAGAAGCATGAAGAGCAAGTAGAGGAGGTGCCACGAGAGGAGGTGCCACAGGAAGAGATATCGCGAGAGGAGGTGCCACAGGAGGAGGTGCCACGGGAAGAGGTCCAGGGTACTCAGCGAGAGAGAGGGCTGGGCGATGAGGGGAGACGTGCAAGAAAGGAAGTGATAGAGGTTGGAGAGGACACGCCCCGACAGGCGCCAGCAATGGGTTTGAGACTCGAAGATGCACCAGGGAGCACCCAGCAGGCAAAGGAGAGGTTGCAGAGAGAGGAGGCCCCTTTACCATCGTCAGAAAAGGCTCCTTCGCCAGAAGCGAGGGCAGTTGTAAGGAGAGAAGCTTTGACTTTGATTGATAGGCACCTAGCAGCTTATTCCCTGGAGCATCCAGACCTGGAGGAGCCAGCACCTGCAGAGCCACGCAAGGAGTCATGCCAGCCCGAGAAGGAGAAGGAAGCAGAGATACCAAAGAGGGTCGACCTCCGCACGAAGGAAAGGGCGCCAGCTGGAGARACGGCTGAAGAAAAGAGGGCGAGAAGAACAAGACGGATAGATGAGATATGGCAAGAGAGGCAGAGATTGGAGGCAGCGGGGGAGCTCATGGAACAGCAACAGGAGAGGCAGAGATCAGAGGCAGCAGGAGCACTCCCGGGTCAGCCACCCAGCGTACCCGCTAGGGCCCCAGAGATCCCTGAGATGTGGAGGGACTTCTGGGAGCAGAGAGGAGAGGAGCTTCCATCGCCAGTCAGAGCCGGGTTTGGGGTGGCCAGAAAGGCGGAAGAAAGGTTAGATCGTAAAATCAAGTTCCTRGCCAAGACCACTTTTGACCGGCACTTGTTATTGGAGAGCGATCTGGCGGCGAAGAAAATGAAGGAAGTCAGCCATGGAGTACGTCTGGAGACTATGGAGATGGAAATTCAGGAACTCAGGGCTTTGGTGGCCAGCCAGGCAACTATCATCGAGAACCTGAGGCAGCAGACCAAGGGAAGGGTGGATAGACCAGAGAGCAGCAGGCAGCGAGAGCAGAGGCAGCCGGGACAGGGATTGCCAGGACAACCAGCTGCAGCGGAGCCTCGCCAGGAGCCACCTATGGGGAGAGCTATCCTAAAGCCAGAGGAGCCGAGAGCCCAAAGACAGGCAAAGAGAGAGGCGTTCGAGTTTAGAGCCCCTACTGAGCTTGCGACGCTGCCAGTAGCGGCGGCAAGCCCAGTCGTACCTTTGGCAGCAGAGGAGGGGCCGCCACCATCTAGCAGTGAGCCGGCTCARGGCTCAGCAGAGGGATCCATGGGCGTGCTCCTTGAGATGGCGCATGATATGGAGGAGGAGGTGAGTTTGTTTTCACCTGAGCAGAGGATGGAGGAGCCTCTTGAGAGAGAGATGGGGATTAAGGCAGAGGGTGCTGTAGAGAGCAGACTTCAGAGGATGGGCACTCCTGAGTAT